TAAATACCAGGAAATAAAAACTGAAATTCTGAACTCTTATCTCATATTCATCTTTTGATCCTAAACCCAAATATCTTCAGTGAACAACAAAAACAAAGGAATTAGACTTGCCGTTCCAATACTTTTGGAAGGGGCCTGTATATATTCGTGCGTGTGTGTGTATGTGTGTGTGTGTGTGTATATGTGTGTGTGACTTTTTGTACTTTGTCATACATCGTTCCTCTAAAATACATGAATATATTTGTGTGTATGTGGTATATATATATATAATGTATATATATATTTGAAACAGAAAGACCAGATATCAAAATAAAATTAAAGTTCATTAAGAAACCACCGACAAAAGGACGAAACGCATCACACGAAAAACTTTTTTCTACTTTGTTATACAAAATTGTTTTTGATATAAAAATGTATATATCCTTATCCCATATATATATATGTATCATATTAATGCAACACATGTGGAGCAATCTTAGCTCCCGAAGCCAAGCCATACATGCCCACTTCATAACAATAAAACGGTAACTTTAAATCTCACGAAATACAATCTTTTATTCCAATCACTATTACGAGACAGAAGGATTTCGTTGGCAAGAAAGAAAAGAGTACTGAGCTGCTACGTGACATCTATCCACGGCAGCTAATGCTTGACGGTCTCCTCAAAGAAGAGACTCGAGGCAACGATGGTATGGTTCTACAGAAGGATGCTAAGGATATGGACCAAGCGTGTGAGCAACGATGAGGTTTTGAAGAGGATGCAAACAAGGAGGAAGCTTACACTTAACACCAGGAAGAGGCAGAAGAAATTTCTGGGACAGATAATGAGAAAGGAGGGATTGGAGAATCCGATACTCACAGGTCGAATAGAGGGAAAGGAATAGGGGGAAGTGGAGAGCCATGACCGCCTACGTCCTGAAGGGACACGACACATAAAAATGAAAGAAAGAAATACATAGAATCAGAAAGGGGTAGCTGAAATTTCTGGGACACGTAATGAGAAAGGAGGGCATGGAAATGCTGATACTCACAGGGCGAATAGAAGGAAAGAGAGGGAAGGGAAAACAACGCGTGAAATGCCTAACGGGCTTAAGCTAGTGGATGACAGAGCACGATTTAGGCTAAATAGCAAAAGACAAAACATATTGAGAACTACAAGGAGAAGAGGGAAGTGGAGAGCCATGATCGCCTAAGTCCTGAAAGGACACGGCACATAAAGATGAAGAAGTTCCAACCATTTTCGTCATGTTTAAGTTGAAATGCATTAGAACATTTGTGAGTGAATCACAATCCGTAAAGGAAAAAAAATCTTATTTGCCTGGGTCGATAAGCAGTTACGTCCCTTTGTTAGTATTTGGCTGATGTAAGGGGCATAACTGTGTTTAATATAGGCAGTCATGCAATTGTAACCATTGATACACACAGATTTTGCCCAAGTTAGCACAAGTATCTATCTATCTATCTATCTATCTATCTATATATCTATCTATCTATCTATCTATCTATCGATGTCATTCTGTTCATATCTATCTATCTATCTATCTATCTATCTATCTATCTATCTATCTATCTATGTCACAAATACAGTGCTGATGTTAGTAAAACAGTATTCTGTGTACAAATGTCTATATACTCGGCAGCTGAAGATTGCGTTGTGTATGAATCGGTAGTAATAATCTATTGCAGTTACATTTTTGTTTCAAATTTTTGAATTTTTAAACATGACAGATTTTCACCGATTTTAAACAATTGATTTAAAGAAGCTAATTACACATATGTCACAGTTATGAATAAATTTTAAGTACACTGGCATATTTTATTTCTTACACGGCAGTGGCAGTTTACACGGCGGATTAAAGAAAAAAAAAATTGTTTCCCCCCCTACATGACAACGCAGCATGGCTGCATACAAGAATAACACAGATAAAACAATTTTTGGAACTGGGTTGACCTGTTGCAAACCATCCGCCATGTTCACCTGGCCTTGTACCAACTAATTTTTACCATTTTCGATCGCTGTAAAAAGCGTTAGTGGGTAAAACTCTCCCTAATGAAAATCAAATTAAAGAGTTTGACGAAAGATTTGTCGCATTTTGTCAACTGGGGAATCTTTATTCAAAAACTATCGAATGATGGATGTTTTTTTTACGGCTTATCAACCTTTTGTAGTTTATCTGAAGCCAGAAAATATATATTTCTTTCATTGTAAGAGTTTTTGAGATAATAAAAATTTACAGGTCTTACGAATTAAACTATAGCTGGGGAGGAGAACAGAAACATGTTGCATTGAAAAATATAGACATATTGTGTCTACTTATTTTTTATACTGAATCTTTTTAGTTGTCTAATCAGTTTCTTGATATTAAGGAAGGAGCCGTGGTTTTTTTTTAATCCAAGTACTTTCGACCTTTTCTAAGAACATCTTCAGGGGTAAATTACAAAGACAAACACGGTATTGAAACCGTAATAAAATCTTCATTCCATTGTCATAGTGATTTTAAATACACGAACGAACGTGTATATATATATATATATATATATATATATATATATATATATATATATATATATATATAGCACGTGTAATAAATCCGTTGTTATATAATACAAGTGGATGCTAGAATATCAAATATTAAAACTGATCCGCAAAAAGAGCTCAATGTATTTATTATAACAGAGCATATAAATTACACAACAAAATCCCAAATTATCTCGTATGAGGTGGGGGAGAATAGATCGATTACAACCGGTTCGTGTCGGAATTAGAAATTTAAAATTTAACTTTGACAGCAGTTGAAAATTGATACGCAATAAAATAATCAAGGGAAGTAACCATGAATTAATTTATTACCAAATGCTGATTTACGTCCCTTGTAGTTTTACGGGAGAATAAATATTTTCTGTAAGAAATGGTTTTTTGACCTTTACATTTGACATTTAATGACTTTTAGGATTGATCCAGGTCAGTTTGACATAGTATGTGACACTCCTGGGTCATAGCCTATCTGTATGCCAAGGTTGCTTGAAATCCATTCCATAGGTTCTAAGTCACCTGACAGACAAAATTTCATTTTATTTGTGTAGAGATCTTGCAAATTCTTATAAACGTTATAGTGAGTAAACGTTTTTGAGTATACATTTTTTATTTTTCTTAAAATGTGAAATTAATGTCTACCGGCCTAGTGAAAGAAAGTTTACTGTGCCTATACTTCTCTAACAGGAATCGAACCTGTGTAGAGGACCGGTTTGGGTTTGAGTGTTGTTAAATTAGGAACACGTGCTGTTTATTCCTGCTAGAAGGTGCAACTACAAGAACATAGCAGACTCAAGTTGAGTCCAACCGAAGATGTAAAGAAAACAAACAAGGCCGATATATATATGTCAACAAATTACAAATTTACAAGTGACAAAGACATTAACGTTTGTGTTCGTGTGTGAACGTGAAGAGTTTGTATATTGGTGAATGTTCGTACGTACGTGGATGTGTGTTTCATGGCGTTTTCACACAAGTAGGCGAAAACGTGGATTTCTGTGAGAGATCACATTTTTAAATGTGTCCGCTGAAATGCAAAGTAGAAAAGACAAAGTGGCAAGAAGTCGCCCAGTATTAATAGTGTAGGGCGAGCGACCCCTAGTGAACAATTAGGGAATTAAGGAGGAGCTAACTCCAACACCTGCATCATGTTTAATCTGGAAATAAATTTCAAACCAAGCGTACTTTGCCATTAAGCTAATAATAAATACTAATTATTTATTAAATCGTTTATTTACACTATTTGTTTATTATATTATTTATTTGAATGGTTGGCAAAACATCGGCTAATTGTCAATTGATTCAAACTTTATGAAATGGTAAATAGTAAAGAATTCCTTATAGTTGGTTCACATATTTTAATAATTTAGTAAAGATTTATAAATAAAAAATATTTTATTATTTATTTATAAATGTAAACGATAAAAGGTAAATTATCTAAATCTTATAAAATTATTTAAAATTTCCATATATATATATATATATATATATATATATATATATATATATATATATATATATATATGAAAATATATAGAAAATAGGAAGGAACTGGTTAGGTAAATAATCCAAAGTTCCTTAGTATTTTTGTTATTATTTTTAAAAGATAGTGCTCGATACAGAAGTAGAGCATAAATATAATTATTTATTTTAAAATATGATTCCAACCCGCGACATAAGAGGTCTCATGTTTCAAAACAAAAAACTTCAATATAATTATTTGAATTAAATTGAATTAAAGTACGCTCTGTTCCATCTTCAAGCGAAATTTTTTGGAATAACTTATTTCTGAAATTTACGTGTTTTAATAGTATATGTTATTCGCAAAAAATTTCGCTTGAAGATGGAACAGAGCTTACTTTAATTCAATTTAATTCAAATAATTTACCTTGACGTGTAATTTAGCTTGACAGTAAATTCGACCTTGCTAACCGAACGCTCCTCTGTGGCCAAATCGGTAAAGGTACATGAAGCGAAATGAAGTTTCCGTATAGGATACAGGTTCGAATCCTGTCGGAGGACAAATATTTTCTATGAAAATTTCTTGGACATTCAGGCTGGTAAATGTTGTTTAATACTGTTTATTATTAAACAGAGCATTTACTTAAATATTTGTATCTATAAAAAGAATGTATAAACATAAAAATGTCTTAAAATAATTGTCGGACTTTGTCCATTTCATAATATATATATATATATATATGATGGTTTCTCCCGTCGAGTTTGACGTATGAGGTTCCGACGACCACAAACTAATTATCTGCATGCCTATGACCAGCATGACTTTTGAGACTGGCTCGTGAATTGCACAAAGACCATAATCAGTACAGGAGAATGTATTGTATCCAAGTGAAGCACGAACACTGTTAGATGTCTTATTTTGCTTTCTCGTTTCATGTAGTCGACTGATGATTACTTATCAGTGCAGCTATATCAATGTTGTACTTCTTTAGCTCCAATGTGACCAGAGCTGTTTTTCTTTCTGGTGCTGAGTTGTTGTCCTGGAGAGTTCTTACATTCCAAGTGCCAAGATGAAGTTGATGTTGTTTCGTAGAGTTTTTCCCATTAGCCGGATATGTGTGGAACTAATTATATGTAGTTGTCAGAAAACCAACACAATGATTTGTTTCATGTATTGAAGGCTTGTGCCGGATCATCCAAACTTTTTGGATCTGTCGAAAACAAAAAAGAAAAGTTAAATAATAAAAAATCGGTTTAAAAGAAATTCCTTTACTCATCCACCCATCTTCCCCATCAAGCTACGTGACACTTACACTTTCCTCCTTCCTTTCTTCCTTACCACTTCTTTATCACACATACATTAGATTTAATTGTATTAGTTTTTAGAATGTAATGAATATAAAATTATTCTTGTAAATAAACAATCTAATAAATAATGTTTAAAATTTTTGTTGCAAATTCCCAAGAACGAAAAAAAAAAAAAAAAAAAAAAAAAAAATAATGTATAAATTCATTTTCTGCGTATGTTTAGGTTTTATTCCAATTCTAATCATCAATTTTTAAAACAACAAACATTGTCGAAGAGTGAAGGTAGTTAAAAAAACGGTGTCATGTGAAAAACCGTCCTTGTTGATACTACGCCTTATTGCGGCCACGTTTATCCCTGTTTGCCGAGGTTTTAATCCAACATTATTTCTTATGACGATAAACGCTATATTTAGAGTGTACAGAGTTTGATTAGACATCTCTAGGTTTATTGATGTCTATCGCCCCAAAGATCGAAAGTCAAACACGTACACTCACTAAATATAAAGTATATATTAATAAGAAACAGAAACATGATAGTAGTTTGTTACCCTTGTTCCGGATTTCCATCAAGAGAAAAGGCGAAAAAAGTGTTTAAATATAAAAGGATATCTTTATTTTCGATTTTTTACAACTATTTTTTCTTAGCGTGTATAGGTGTTAAAGTTCTTACGGTCCTTGTTTGAAGTTGTTTGTTAAGATGAAAAGAAATGTGATTCCTTTGCGTGTATGTGTGAGAAAGAAGAGTTAAGGGAGAAAGAAAGTGTAAGTGTTACGTAGCTTGGCGAGGAAGACGGGTAGATGAGTAAAGGAATTTCTTTTAAACAGATGCATCGATAAAATGTTGCTGCCTGTTGCATGTGAGCAACGACGAAGTTTTAAAGAAAATGGAAACAAGACTGACAATTATACTTAACCTGGCCAGCTACCTGGCGAGCTTGAGTACGCGGAACTTTCTTTTTATGTGCCGTGTCCTTTCAGGACATAGGCAACCATGGCTCTCCACTTCCTCCTATCCCTTGTAGCTCTCAATAAATTTCGTCCCTCTGCCACCTCTCCCAGACCACGTTCTGTCATCCACTTGCTTAAGCCCGCCAGGTATGTTATGCTTTGCTTTCCCTTGTCTCTTTTCCCCTCTATTCGACCTGTGAGTATCAGATTCTCCAAGCCCTCATGCAAATTACAAAATGACACGAAAAATTCAAACAAGTACAAAAATTTAAATATCTTGGAAGTGTTTTAACAGAGAACACTGAAATCCGAAGGTGCATTGGGGTAATGGAAGTTGCCTTCCAAAAACTAAGCAATGTATCAAGGAAAAGGAAAATTTCGTTAGAATGAAAGAAAAGAGTACTGAACTGTTACTTTATATCTGCCCATCTAAATAGCAGTGAATGCTGGACACTCTCCTCAAAGATGAAGAAGAGATTTGAATCAACAAAATTGTGTTTCTACAGAAGGATGCTGAGAAGACCATACACAGACCACGTGAGCAACGACGAAGTTTTAAAGAAAATGGAAACAAAACTGACAATTATATCTAACATCAGGAAGAGACAGTTGAAATTTCGAGGTAATGTAATGAGGAAAGAAGGCTTGGAAAATATGATACTCACAGGGCAGATTGAAGGCAAGAGGACATAACACATAAAGAAGAAGAATATATAAAAATGTAAATGGCGCAGACAGTCTAATCCGAGGATGCTAATCCCTGTTGCAGACGCCTGCTCAGGCACATTTGTGTTTGTTCCACACCCACAGAGGCCACCTGTGCTTTATACTGCAACTATGCTGAGCGGACCTTAGTTACGGTTTCTGGGAGAGAGCACGTTATCTAGGGTGATCACACGGTCACGATGACTTGTGCCTTGTGCTAGCACAAACATTGAAAGCTCCCCAATTTAACTCATAAGGTTTGGGTCAAACCGTGGTATGTGGTTCAAATACTTTTCAAAGGTGTTGCACCTTGAGATCGCCTCCAGACCGATAACCTTCTTGACAAATCGGCCATAGCGAGATTCGAATCCGTGTCTTATGGTCAGAAAGCGAACATTCTAACCACTCGGCCAAGAATATATACTGGAGCATTTTCAATACTATTTGATATGCATTTCGAGATCTTTTGGAATAATAGAGGGCAAATAATCTAAGTAGGATACAGGGAAAAGTACTTTTGAATAAAAATTAAAGAAAATAAAATTATTTAGTTTTCAACTTACTATTGATTGGTGCAAAAAGAAAGCAGTCGACATAAAAACAGCAACCTAATTCTTCAGTGTCAGTTTTTCTCTGCATATTAAACAGATTATAACAAGCAGACGACAGGGCAATTTCTGTTCAATTGTGCAATAAAAAAACAAACTAGGCGATATATAACTGAAATGATTGCTGCACGAGAGATTCTCTAAAAGGACGTTTTTTTGCGTAGTTCACTAAACACGGGTGCGGTTTAATGGTCTTATTTAGGCTGAGTTTTGCGCCAGCCAACTCGTATTGTTAATAAAAAACAACACCAAAAAAAAAAAAAAACAAATCCAAAAAAAAAAACAAACAAAAAAACAAAACAAAAAACAAAATAAAAACGCTTGCATTCCTCGAGTTTTGTGCAAAAAACAGTAATGAATCAATTAACGCAGCTTTTTCGAAAAATTTTATCAAGGACACACAGACTCACAATTATATTTATTTAATGAAATGTAATGCAATTTGTAATTTAAAAAATAGAAACAGTATTTCACTGGATGGTTTTACCCGCATCCATTTGAAGGAATGGACTCAGTCGGCTAACGCATGTGTGATGCAACGAGTAAAGAGGTGGCGTATCTGTGACAGTATAGCTGTGGCGGCTATGCGACGTGGACAGAATTTAACACCATTTAGATGCGGAGCGATTTTTGGGAGCAGTTCTAGCCCAAATGGTTGAACTTTCAAAACCGATGGAAGAGTCCCATATATATATATATATATATATATATATATATATATATATATATATAAAAAACAGATATTAAAAATAATGAGAAAGAAAAGTAAGATTTATAATCCAGTGTTCTTAGCAGTTATTTTTATTTAAAAAAAAACAGTGCTCGATACAAACAGTAGACCAAAATTGTATTCTTTTAAAAAATATGATTCTATAGTGACACAGAAAATTTTCATGTTTCAAAACTGAAACAAAATTTATAAATTTAATTATAAAAATCAAACTTAAAATCCATAGACTCGTTCCGTTGTCAAGCGATGCTAGGAATAACTTTACTTAATTTATAAGCGTAGACAATATTGATAATATAAATTGTTAATGTTAAGGAAAATCTATTTTAATTTTGGGGTGGTCGGGTTTTAATTTCCCTAGACAGCTTATGCATCAAATATATGTTACACAATCAGGTTAAGTTTAGGTGGGGTGTGGGTGCCTGCTAATAAACGTATACTTCCGTTATCCTGTTAGTTGCCTGGGTTTTCAATGACAAAAAACATTTGGCATTTTTATTCATCTGCTTAATTCATATTTTTATACACAAAGATTTTCTAAAAGGGTCATTTAAATATGTGTAAAACATTTTTAATATTTAAATTTTATTAATTAAATTTTATTCAACCTTCTAATAACTAATAGACTATACGGTATGTTTACAAATAAATATATTACAATTTAATTATTAATTAATGATCAAATATGAAAATGTATGTTTCATCTCTATTCTTTACTATTATTATTTTATTCAAAATTAATTATTACTCAAGAAAATATTTGACAGTGCCTACAAAAAATAACTATTTCATTTCTTTGATTTAGTAAATTTTTATTTTTTCAGAAACTTAATAATGTATAATTTTTCATGTATGCATAAAGGGCATGGGTCATTTAATGTCGCGATGGAATCATATTTTTAAAAAGAAAATAATAATTATTATATATATATGTGTGTGTCTGTTTGTGTGTGTAAGTTAAAGATCAAATGCAGATCAAATATGGATCAGAATCCGACAGTAGTACAAAACTTTATAACAGCAAGGAACAAGCGTAATTTCTTATTAAATTACAAGACATATTGATGTAAATTAAAAAAAAGTTTCGTCCTAGCTTATCAAGTTTATTCTGGGAATTAAAAGACGTGTAAATAAATCATAGAAAAGTGGACATCCCTTCGGGAGACCATGTTCAAAGATGCCAGCAAGACTGGTTCGTTCAGAACGATCATGAGATCTCCCAACAAGTTGAAGCGAAACGGTAATCCAAAGTTGAGTATTATTCTTACCCATCATCTCAACGACTGAAAGCCAATTTTCTTCCTTCTCACGGATCACTACCAAAGGGAGATTCGCAGCATCCAAAACCGCTGATGGAGAGATAAGGCCGGGAAACTACAACAATACACCGACAGTCGAAATATAAGACAATTCTTCTGAGGAATGAAGCTTTTCGGTCCCGGCAGGAAGTGTACACCCACCATAAAAGAGTCTGACATCAGCATCGAAGTCACCGAGACCCAAGCCATTCTAGCTAGATGGCAAGTACACTTCTTTACCCTTTTCTATCGTGACTCAACTGCCGCGTCAAACTTTCTCAGACTCGCCCCACAGAACCCGGTGCGACAATGGACGTCTGCCAACCCTACCTATCATGATTTTGAAGCTGCGCTCAAATCCATCCGTTCCTTTAGAGCCCCGAGGCCTGACCCCCCCCCCTGGAGCTGATCAAAGATGACGGATTATCTCTCAAAACAAGAACCTTACTTCTCATCCTACGGCTCTGGGAAAAAGAGGAAGTTCCATCAGATCTGAAGGCTGCGAATATCGTCAACAGCTTCAAGAAAGGAGATAGATGTCTCTGTGGAAACAACCGTGGAATCTCTCTCCTGTTAATCACAGGGAAAATCTTAGCTAGGATCCTTCTCAATCGCCCCCTGACTATGTCAGAGGAGATGTATGCCAATGTAGTTTCAGAGTCAAAAGATGAACCATCGATATTATTTTCTCCGCGAGACAAATCCAGAATAAGTGCAGAGAGCAACAAAAACCTCTGGGAATAATTTTCTATAATCTTGAAAGACCAGCCATGTGGCTGAACATGAGGCGCGATGGATGCTCTGAGAAATTCATGGCGCTCATCCGAGTACTACACGAAGGAATGATGGGTCGTGTCCGACATCAAACCGGCTTTTCGGATTCTTTCCCCATTACAGGGAACTTGAAAGAAGGATGCTTACTTGCTTCTACTCTATTCTCCGTCTACTTGGCAGCAATCAGTTGGGAGATTCCAGACAACAACCTTCGATACCGTACCGATGGCGGCCTCTTCAACAGAGTGACAGAACTAATCTCAACACGGAACTAATTTCAAATCGGAATTAAGTTCAACTCGGAACTAATTTAAAAAACAGTAACCCTAACCACTAACCCTATACTTAAGCTTAACCCTTAGTTCCGAGTTGAAATTAGTTCCTATAGCGAAGAAAACGGCGACTTACGTCGTCAAACCAAGAGACAGCGCATCGCGTATATCCTACGACGGAAAATGTGGCGAAAAAGAAAATTACTTACCAAAGAAAAAAATAAAAGAAAAAAAAAGGGGCACGTATTCCGCATGACATGCTGAAGACGGAATATTTAAATTAAAAACAAGTCCGTCGCAGGAGTGTCTATAAAAGTATTTTTAGATGCAAAAATTGGGCGTCCTCTCCCAGTTGACGACGAATGGAAAAATGCTCGGCCGATAAAAGCAGCAGGTGTTCTCGGATCGGGGAAGAAAAATTCGGGCATTGTGGTTACCACGTTTATCGGAGAGTGAGTTATTTTTCTGACTGGTTACGTGCATTGGGATTTGTGAGATAGTACCTGCGAATCGAGTTTTCGGCATTTCTTTCTGCCCCCGATATTCGAATCTGAACTTACAGTGATTTCTTCTCTGCGTCGTGGAAGTAATCCGCAACAAATATTTCCTTTGCAATCCCAGATCGTTTACAGTTCCGAATTGAAATTAATTCTGCACCTTTTTTCAACGTAGCTTGCCTCCGGTCTACGATTCGAACAACAAACCCACCAGACACAGCGCCCAATACGCTGATGAAAACTGCACGGTGGCCCATAAACTCAAAGACCTCCAGAACTCAGCGGACAACTTCTTCAGAGCGTACATACGCTACGAACTCATCATCAACGTGACAAAGACCAAAGTCCTTCTCCAACCACGACCGGGACATCAATCATCACCTGGTACCAAAATCACCGTCAACGGACTGGAGCCAGAGAATGTTGAACAATTTCCATACTTTGGTAGCTTACTAACATCAAATGCATCCGTTGAAAAAGACATCGATAACCAAATCAAAACCGCCCATGCAACATGTGACATTCTATTATGAGGGTACTGGGGTGCCAGTTTCCTGACTACTGTTTCTGACTGGTCGTTAAGAAGCCAAACTCTTTGGTAGCGCTTAGACAGGCTGCTCTCATCCTCAGTTGCAGAATATCGCGGTATTTTTAGTGCCATGCAGCGCATAGGTAGGCGTCCCTGCATATATTTCTGATGGGCAAACCCGAGGCCACACTATGCACTTTACTCAGCCAGACTCTGTCTGGTTTGTATTGCTATTGGCGGCAGATAGTGATAATTGTTAGTCTTTTCTTTCTCCCCAACACAAATCTCCACATGACCAACACAACGAAACGAAATACGAGAACCAGTAAACAAAAAGCCATATAACTGACTCAACCTTTCTTTCTCCAATGTACGTGGTATCCGTTCCAACTTGAATCTTCTCTTATGGAACGGCCGTCGGATATCTTTGCAAAAGAAACGTAAATTATGCCATTTCTACCACTGAATTCTCTGTTTCTGGTTATCTTCAGCTTTGTCGAAAAGATTCTAGGAATTGTATCTCGAGTTCCCAGACAACTCTTTCATGTGCTTTCGATTTTTGTTATTACACTCTGTTAGCTATCTCTTTTTCCTTTATCGCTTCCCCTTTTCTCAGGACTTTAGTAAGATTAGACATAATCTTTGACAGGATAGAAACGGCACTTTCTCTTCATCCATCTGCGAACACCATGTCACGTAGCTTAAACATTCTAATGGTACCGGTATTCAGACATTAATTTTTTTTTTTAAATCCCATACTCAAATTGTGGATTTTCCGACCCGTTTCCCTAGCAAATCCGTGCAGGTGGCTTGATTTATTTTTTCACCTCTTCTTTCTCTTGCCGAGCTGCGCAACACTTCTTTTGGAAATTCGGACCACTCAGTAGTATCTATTGATATTTTGTTCCAATCATCTCTTAAACAGTAACTCTCTGTTTATAAGACGTCTTTCCATTACCAGTATGCTGATTGGGACTCACTCTCTGATTTTATTGGAGGCGCACAAAGACTGACATTTTTATCTTTCAAATTGAGAATTGTGCCATTGATGTTTCCTCTTAGGTCAAAGCCAGTATGGATGTTTTCGTTCCTTCTCGGAAATACAAGGTGAAACCTCAGTCTTAATCATAGTTCACACCAACATGCTCTGCCACTATAGCCCACAGGAACCACTATTTTCGGCTATACCAGCGTTACAGCTTCCGTCATAACAGACGCCTATTCGTTGCTTCTCGTAATAAATGAAAACTAATGTGCTAAGTCTCTGTTGAGAGAATGCAACACTGCATTGCCTCCAAAAACTTTGGCTCTCGTGATTACTGGCGGCTGTGTAATAGTGTATTAAACAAGTGTAAGTTCTCTATTCCTCCTCTCTTCAATCAATACGAGGTTTTAAATATCTTCTGTTGATGAAGCTTCGTAAACTCTTTAAATTCTCCTGAAACGCTACTTTTGGCTCATCTGGAATATCCCTGCTTAACTTCACACTTAGAACCGAATCTCTGTTGAATGATATACATATAACCCCTTCTATGTTTTTTGCTACCATCTCTAACCTTGATACCACAAAGCATGTGGTGTGGACATGATGACATCTCTGTAATAGTCATTAAGAAGTGCGACCCGAACTGGCTTCTCTAAACTGTATAATAAATGCCTAACCGCCTTCTGCTTTCCTGCCTACTGGAAATCCTAATCTGTTGTTCCAGGTTTTAAGAACTCGGGGGAATTGTCCGGCCCTTCCAACTATAGGCCTATTAACGTTCCACCACTTTTTGGGAAACTACTGGAGGCCCTAATCAATGCCGAACTGTTTAAGCATCTCACATAGCAATGCCTTCTTCCAGCTTCAACGAAACCAAGAAAGACTGAAACAGTCCTGAAAGATAGTGGTTTGTTGACAACACTCACATACGAACCACACACTACAAAAAAATCTAATAGGAAAATGTTAATAGACTCTCCCACATATAATAAGTAGTAGTAGTAGTAGTAGCAGTCGAAAAGTCGCTCAGTGAGTTGTTCAGTCAGTCGATGTCGGACACTAAGAGTATCAGCGACCACCACTAGATTTCTCTGCGTCATTACTTATTATATCAAGTTCCTAACGTTTTGTACGTCGAACCTTTTTAGGACCGACTTAGTGAAATACAAGCCTCCACTGTGAAAAACACTCTACAACAGAAAAAATAAACATTATATGGTTCAACTCACCGTACAACAGAAACATAAAACCAAAGCAGGAAAAATATTCTTTAAAGTCATACACAAACACTTCAAAAATCAACTACAGTTCCACTGAGAACATGGCACAAATAATATAAAAGCACAACAGGAAAACAACCAAAACACCGCCTGAACAAATCAAAGAGACGTAATTGGAGAACAAAGAAGGAGTTAATTGCTTACAGAACAATGTAATACACCAAACCACTGTAAAATAACTGTTTCACCTTTCTGTTTCTTACCACAACTGCACGGGATGGCGTACACACAATTCTTAGTCATGTTCTTCTTAATGGGGATGTCTTACTCGGAAGAGATGTATGTTGAACCACTTTTGAAGGCTGTTCTGACGTTATATAGACCACAGATTGTATTTTTTTCGGATAATCCCTTCACATAGGGGAGGCAGATTGTTTTCTGAGTGTTGTTATCCTCTTATACCCTTCCACCCCAGTTTGCCGGAGCTGCTGCCATGTACTCAAAGTAGTTGTTATATTGTAGGGTACTGCTTATACTGACCATTTCTTCTTCATATGTCTCTGGGCCGCCACTTATGACTTTTGTTCGATGTTGTAAGCAGCGGACGACCTCTTTCTTTACAATGTATGGGCGGTGGGAGTTAAAGTTGAGGTATTGTCCGGTGAATGTTGGTTTTCGAGTAAGACCCCCCTCCATAAAGGAGAACGAGACTAAGGACTGTGTGTACGCCACCCTGTGCAGCTGCGGTAGGAAATATATAGAAGAAACAAGCTGCCCGCTTAAGATAAGCCGTAACAAGAGGGGAAATTGAAATTCAGGTGTAGCTGACCACATATGGAGGGAAAAGGGATGGGATTGAAATAATGGACATAGAATATCACAGGAAAATACGAAAACTTATGGAATCATTACATATGCAAAAAATCTCCTGAGCCGACCAAGCATAGAAATGAATACAATATGGAAACCAGCAATGCGGACAAAAAGCCAGAGAAAAGCAATAGCAACAAGTACAATTGCAATATGAAAAAAAAAAAGAAAAATGAAACACTGATGTCCTCAAGGACACATGCTCCAATTGGATCCAGTGACTTGACCTAAATAATTGTGAGTTCAATACCTGGCTTTTGCA